TACTATTAAACTTTACCTGCTGGTTCACTTTCCTTTATTTGAATTGCCTAAGGTCACGCGCCCTGCAAACTGATTATTTTTCTTGATAAACTGACAGGTCACCGGCTGGTACTTGGGCTAACTTGCGTGGCGTGGCTTTGCTTCAGTGTCAGTAAAGGCCTTTGAAAGTTTCGGTATATTGTTTTACTTTTAGGTAAATCTACCAGGATCTTCACTTAGATTGTATATAGGCTTAGAATCAGTTTTGATTCTTACGATATGAATGCATGCATGTATTCATACACACATACATACATACACACGCATATACATATAATATTGAAATTACATCAAGGCAGGCAAGATTGGAGATTCTTTTTTATTCTCTGGCTATTTACCTAGCCGTTTATTTCATTGTTTTTGCATTATCCCTAAGGCCGCTTTTTTCCTTGCAGGCAATAGGCTAAGAATTGGTAGAGTTTGTGGGCTTGTCACAAAGGGATTGTTTCTATCTGATTACCATACAACTCCCTGCACTTCTTATTCGTCGGAAAGGCTTCACGTGTATGTCAAAGTCAGTCATACTGACGCCTTGGATGCACATTCATAGACAGACACGAGTCCTCCAAGCGATTTTTCTACCTCCTCTGCCCTACACAAACTCCACTGAAGGCCTTGCAGAAAGAGTTGCCCTTTAAACTAAACAAGCCATGACTTTCTGCACTACACCTTATCTAGATCTCCATCCTCTTCTGTTTATTGCGACCTGTTGACGTGCCTAAACTTTAAATGAGGCAAGAGGGAGGCAGAATTTATTTAAGATGAGAAAGCGGAAAACGTAGCAGGAGATCAAAGTACATGATTTTTCATTTATTGCGAGAATATGTACGTTAATTTAACAATCACATCCTTAGTATTCAATTTTCATACATTCTGAATTTTATCAGAATTTGACACACAATGTTTAATAGTCATGGGAACAGCAACCTTTTAGTGCTATTCCAATCCCTTCATGACATTCACTGCGCCTACATACTATTCATGCAATTCATGTCAATTAACTAGGCGTCGATTGTGCAATATGAGCCCAGCATTTTCTTTTTACTTTCACGAAATAAAAGAGGAAGAGTATGAAGATATGGAAAGTTTATAAACATCTTATATAGACATTTACCTGTTACATAATTATTTATCGGTATTTCAAATCTATCTGTCTTTTTCTATCCATCTAACTTTAATAAATGAATGCAGCCGATTGTTCACGCCGTTTTATGATTCAGCCTTTTGATCAATGCATTCTTAGCGAAATCGAGGCCCTAGTTCATCCTAACCGATTGTATGTACACTTACAGATTTGGTACTGAATAAATTTATTGTTTGTATGTCACTTGATCCATCTCGCAACGGCTTAGTCTATAGGCTAGCCTAGCCAACCTCTTTGATCTAATGTATTAATTTTTTTATAAGATTTTTTATATACGAAGAGTAACTGGTAGATCCAACTAGTCTTGACTTAGTGCTAACTTGGGGCTTTTGCAAGGATACATTCCAGCCCTGATGATGCCCCTCGTACGACCGACAAAAGATCCGCCAGTTTTTACTCGGGTCCAAAGAATATGTCTCGTAGACTACGTCAACCTTAACGTCGTGTACAATCAGACGAATGCAAACCAACGGGAATCGGTCTTTGTCTTCGGATGAGATTGACTTATCCATTAGGCACATTCACGCTAAATGAAAATCATCACGACAATATTTTTTTCTACAAGCCCTAGATCGACCTGGGTTAGGTCAAAACAACGGTACAGTCTGGATGGGAATATCTTTTAGGAAACATGGTTAAGTGAAATTCACTGGCATTATGAGGCTTATTCATATGAATGTAGGGAAGGTAACTACCACTTCTTAGTCACCTTATACGAGCTATCGTGAATACAGCTCTCATTCTTGATCTTTTGGTAGTTTCAAGACGAATTCAATCTAAATATTAGGTTTTCTGTCCCTCTAACATGTTTTAAGTCAATTGGATGTAAATTTATTTTCGGATGGCAGGGACCTTTCAATGATTACTGTTGACAACTCTTGAGTTGATTGGCTGGTACCATATTTAAAGCTAATTATCATGGTTAAGTATCCGTTAGCTGATTCCATATCATATTGCCGCTTTATCAATAGCATTAATCTCGTTTAGGTATTTTATCTAATCTCCAGTTTTCACACGCTCCCTGCTTAATTTACATGCCCTGAGTTAGAAGGCGACTGAACCTTGGATTTGGGCCTTAAGTATGAATAGATTAGTTTTCCGATGGTATTCTTGTTTGGAAAAGTGAGTTTAATTCCTAAAAGCTTGTCCGATTTATTATGAAATGAAGCTGTTACTTTTACCTCTCATAAATATGAGACAATCTCTTCTTTTCAACAGACTTCAGCTGCAAAGTTTTAGTCAATTAGCACTTGTGTCCTTTTATTTTGGATTGGGGGCATGCTTTTGCTTATGCGAATTTTCTATAGCAAAGTTATCAGTCTATTGACGAAAGGGCAATCTGGGCCCTAGAACTAATTCGTCTCATGTTACTGCCGAAAATTTGGCTTCTCATCAGATAAGATATTTATATTTATTTTGCCTTTTTCCTTTTATCATTGTCTGTTCTTCTTACCAATGTAGAAACGGCTTGGGGTGATGCAACAAGCCTATCCAGACACTTGTGGAAATGGGCGCATTGACCGTGGGGAGGAGTGCGACTCTACTCCACCATCGATGCCAGCACTGTTTTTAGCTGGTTCTAGTTTCATGTCTGAGGGCCTCGGAGACGCTGCCTTCAGCCTGAATGGCACTGGCAACGTTGCCATCACAGCTACATCCATAGATGGGGGTTCCGCTGGTGTGGGGCGCAGCTGCTGTGATGCTGCCACGTGTCTGGCAGAGCCCACGGCGGCCTGCGTGGATGGACCCTGCTGTACGGCAGAGTGTCAAATCGCTCCGCCCGGCCTTGTCTGCCGTCCCGCTGAAGACGTCTGCGATCTCGACGAGGTTTGCAACGGACGGCAGGTAGGCCTTTCTCGTTTAATTCCCACTTGCATTGCCATGCGAATCGGTGTGAATGGACACAATTCTTGTCATTACTCTTTCTTATCACATCATTTTACCAACTTTTGATAGAAGCTGTTTGACCTTCTTTTTGCAATTTGGTTGTATTGTCAGACCGACTACACTACAACTCATCAAAAGAGACTAAGAAACACGACTTGTCTCTTTGCCGCTTTGTTGTTTTGTGCTAAGAATGGTAAGACTCACTGACGCTGCCAACTATGAGGTCGGCGCAGTGTCTGGGAATGTGCCAAGTTTACGGTTGCTATAGGCTCCAGACACTATGCATTCCTCTGAGACTGCTTGGCAGTAAGATCAAGTGGCGAAAACATGATCAAACATCTTATGTAAATTATATTAACGATTGATCCAATATTTTGTGTAAGTTTAATGTCAAGTGAAGTGGAAAGACGTACTATTCGAAGCTTATTTCCCAAATCCAAAATCCACGTTAATTTAGAAAAAAAGTACATAGTTATCATAATTTGTAATATAAAACAGCTGATATTTTTTCTCAAGAAATTTTCTCTGCCTAAAATATCGAAAAGTTAATATGAATGCGTCTGGAGCAAGAATGAAATGAAATGAGTTAATGAATGTACGAAATGGTTTATAAATTTAAACGACAAAATAACTAGAGCAAAACTTTTATCACCTTAGGCAAAGTAATACTTTGAGGAGCTAGCGAGGAGTGTGAATAAGTCTTATTAAATCTATTCAAAAGGACACACCATAACTAGGCATAAACAAGTATATGCGAAGAAAAGTTGCGTTTCGAGGAATCTCTTGTTTCATAATTGTTGTGCTTACTTCCATTTCGAGTGAAAGTGTTTGGTGAAGAGATTCGAAGGTCAAATCCACCAGAAGACGATGGCGGATTCCTCTTGACCAGCTGTCGATTGGCTCTACTAAAAAATTCATTCTGACGCATGAAAACTTGACTCGTTAGCTTGACTTTGGTTGTGATGACGATACCTTGCTTTGATGTTGTTCGTAATATGACGGACGAAAGCTTAGCACCTTTTCAGCGGATTCGAAAAAGATTACCTCGGCAACAGCATCAGCATGAACATTCCAGTAAAGCCAATCGACAGCTGGTCAAGAGGAATCCGCCGTCGCCTTCTGGTGGAATAAACAAGTAAGCAATAAATAATGATAATGAAGGGCTGTTACGAGGTTATAGGATAGGTGAATGCACCAGGACAGAAGTTGAGATACTACAACTGTTTAGCAGACAATTATTCAAAGGGTCGACTTTGCTTGCCTATTTGACGAGTTTTAGTGTGGTACTAAGAGTAGAAAGGCTCGCTGAAGATGCCGACTACAACACTGGCGAAACGTCTGGCAATGTACCAAGTCTACGGTCTGACTCTGTCCCTCCTCTGACAATACAACCAAGTTGCGTAAACAAGGTCAAACAATTTCTATACAAATAAGGGAGGCAACGACTGTTTCAAAGGATACACTATCTTGGTCTTCATGCCTTCGATTAAACCAGTAACTGTTGTTTTACGGTTAGTATAGGTATCCTTTTAACATTCGAAATATCCTAGCTTTTCTCGAGTTTAATTTAAAGTAAGTCCAGAGTATGGATATGTACATTCTTGTTTGAACAGACCTCATTACTAGATTAATCAAATGAGCGGTCAGTACGTATTTTTGAGGGATGCAGACTAATTATACGAGAATTGCAGCAAATACTTCTTAAACAAACGCACAGCAGACAAGAAAGCATCGTTTTTCCTCTTTTGTTAAGGTTCAGCGAAACCCTTTGTTGGACACCTTTGAGCATAACGAAAGACGAACGGTCTATTCTTTTGGGTGACATTGTGGCTAGCTAGGATTTTATACAAAAAATTATTTATCTTAGTTAGTAAAACGATCGTTAGTTGCTTATGGCATATTAAGGGCTTCATTATCAACTGTTGTGAGACCCTGTGTCCTGGGTTTACCTTGTTTGACATGCTGCCACCTGGCCAGATATGGCAAATCATGTTTTCTTGTCTGCATTTAAAAGTAATTTGTCTGTGCGTTTGGGATAATGGTCATAATCTCTGATAGGAGATATTGTCCGCATTGGTGAGGCAGAGTAGTTACATGTTCTCAATCTTATGAGAATAAATCTTGTCAGACATCAGGTAAAAATACCAAAGAAGCTGCGATGCTAGTGGATCTGCGTCGAATCTATCATTAGTCTTCTGTAAATGGACATTCATTGCCAGTAAATTAGCCTTTAGAGACTGCTAGGATCGTGAATAAATCCTATTTTGTTGTAGCTATAAAGTGCTTCCT